GCACTGGCTTACGTCACTGTCACGAGACATTCTTGCAAAAAAAATCACAGTTTTAGTAACGCAGTAACGCAGCGTTCCTACGGGAAAGTAACGACAATCTAATTACCATTTTTGCAATAGTAATCTGATTACTTTACTCGTTACTTGAAAAAAGTAATCAGATTACTGCCCATCTCTGGCTGTGGATGTCTTGCTGTACTACTATTTGATCTTCACTTGCGTGTGGTGCTATAAGCATTAAACTTGTGTGTATCATCCTTAATTGTAGCTCAAAGCCCAGCAGTTGCTACTTCAGTTATTGAGATCTGTGTCATGCCAAGTCTGCTGCCATCACAACTATACAGTCTATTTAAGCAACAGCTGGTGAAGTCATCCACTTCCTCTGTTTTACTCTCGTAGTCCAGTGGTTCAGACTAGTGCCTGATGTGCTCAGGGTGCATTTATCTCTCCCAACAGATATCTGCATATGAACATGTAGAATATTTTGGCAATTGACAAAATGTTTCATATTTGAAGCTTTCTGGTTTCTATTTGTAGTCTTGAGTAATGACCCACTAATGTTCAGCAGGCTTTGGTTGCATGCAGGTATGCAGTCTCTCTGGAAAACAAAAGAGGGACCGTTTTTTCGACCCGTTATCTGATGAACCTTTCTTGTTATTTGTGTTTTTATGCTTCATCTACATACATAAATGACAAATGGTTCATTATTCGTGTGTAGCTTTTTTTGTTCACTTGCCGCAAGCCCATTTCTTTCCTCTTGGGTGAGGGTTTTGGCATTTCTGTCCTTCAGACTGCAGCACTTTAGTAGAGGAAGTAATGTGATTTTAAAGGACTCTGACTCATTTTACTGTCTTTCAGTGTGTTGTCATTATACGGCAATATTGGCTTTAGAAATCCCTCTTGTCACACCACATAGGAATAACACTACGCCAGACACTTTTTCAAGAGTGGTAAAACACTCACTTTGGGATCCGTAATGTAATCTGGCAGTTTGTGAGGAGCAGCTTCTGGGCTTTACTGAAAGACGGACGTGATACAGGTTGGTTAAAGATAAACTGAACATTTCATGAACAGTAGTAAACGGACTATAGAGGAATATGTAATTCTACAAATGCACAAGTGTACACAGTCCACTGAAAGAAAGTTGAGCCAATGCTTTTGTTCATTTCACATTAACCTCTGCAGTAACTCATGCACGATGGCAGAGATGAATTAACTTTGGCCTTCAATGTTCAGCTGGGCGCTCTCATTGTGTTAATGTTTTGTTTTTTAATGTTGGGTTCCTGTTAAGTCACTTCCTGTTTTATTTTGTAACTCTTCACCTGCTTATACTTTTGATAATTTTACTTCCTGTTTTGACCCGTTTGTGATTGTTTGCCCCGTCGTCATTACTCTCCTTGTTAAGCTTTCTAGCTGCGTGCTTGTGCTTATCCTCTTGTTTTCTAGTTCATCCTGTTTATTGTTTCATTTGTTATTTGTGTTTTCTTGGATTTTCTCATCTTGTGACTTTTTTTGTTTGTTATTTTGGAACTTTTCTTCAGACTTTATTGGCGCAACGCAAAAGCTTTACACCATATGTGTCGTGTGCTCGGCCCAGTGAGTTGCACCAACACCCTGGACATCTTGCCTTTTTGTCTGCCCCTGTATTGTTTACCTTCTTTGACTTCTTCTCTGCAAATAATTAAAGACTTTATTTCGATTTCACTGTCTGTGTCCTGCGTTCTTCAGCCGCGATTGTTCCAGTTTTTCAGGTAAAAAGCCACATCAGACGAAAGCGATTATTATAATAATAATAATAATAATAATAATAATACATTTTATTTGAGGGCGCCTTTCAGAAACCCGAGGTCACCTTAGAAAAAACACAATTAATAAAAGGAACAGTAGTCATAAAATACATAAAATAAGTTAAAATTACAAAACAGAGCGTGACAACAGATAAAATCAGCATTAAAGCGAATAAGCCAGTTTAAACAGATGTGTTTTGAGCTGTGTCTTAAATACGGAGAGGGAGTCAATATTTCTTAGTGCAGGAGGAAGAGAGTTCCAGAGCCGAGGAGCAGAGCGACTGAAAGCTCTGTTCCCCATAGTAATAAGATGTGAGGACGGAACAGTAAGATGAATAGCAGATGATGATCTGAGAGTGCGGGAAACAGTGGTGATATGGAGCAGGTCACACAAATATGAAGGAGCAGATTTATGGATACACTTGTATGCAAGAAGTAAGATTTTAAAATTTATCCTGGCTTCTATGGGCAACCAGTGAAGCTGCTGAAGAACTGGGGTAATATGAGCACTTAACGGAGTGCAAGTTATGACCCGAGCTGCAGAATTTTGAAGAAGTTGGAGTTTATGAAGGGACCTTTTAGGGAGACCAAATAGGAGGGAATTACAGTAATCAATACGGGATGTAATAAGACTATGGACAAGGATGGCAGCAGCATGGGGAGTAAGGAAGGGACGGAGTCGGTGAATATTACGTAAATGGAAGTAAGCAGACCGTGTTATGTAATTAATGTGAGACTGGAATGAAAGAGTATTATCAAGTATGACACCCAAACTCTTAACCTGAGGGGAGGGAAGGGTGGGAGGATTTTCAACGTTAATGGAAAAGCTGTGGGATTTGGTTAAGATAGATGGTGTACCAACAAGTAAAACTTCAGTTTTATTACTGTTAAGTTTGAGGAAATTGGAGGAGAACCAGGATCTAATCTCAATAAGACAGTCTGAGAGGGAGGTAGGTGGGAGGGATGAATTGGGTTTAGAAGAAAGGTAGAGCTGGGTGTCATCGGCATAACAGTGAAAATTTATATTATATTTTCAGAATATATAACCAAGAGGAAGCATATAAATAATGAATAAAAGAGGCCCCAATACTGAACCCTGGGGCACACCAGCAGAAACAGGATAGAGAGCTGAAGAATGGGATTTAAGTTGGATAAACTGAGTGCGGTCTGAGAGATAGGAGGTAAACCAGGTAAGTGGGGTATGACTAATACCAATGGAAGCTAACCGGTTCAGGAGAATATTGTGAGAAATGGTATCAAACGCCGCACTAAGATCAAGAAGGATGAGAATGGATAGGAGACCAGAATCAGCTGCCATCAGAAGGTCATTGGTAATTCTGTGCTATGATTGGGGCGGAAACCAGATTGAAATTGTTCATAGAGATTTTGGTCATTGAGATGTGAATGAAGCTGGGCGGCGACAACTTTTTCAAGAATTTTTGAAATAAAGGGGAGATTTGATATAGGGCGAAGATTATCAAAGTTATTGGGGTCTGCACCAGGCTTTTTGAGAGTTGGAATAACAGAAGCCTTTTTCAGTGCTTCAGGAACAATCCCAGTGTTCAGGGAGGAATGAATAATATTGGTTATGAGAGGTGCTAAAGAGGGAAGACAGGCTTTAACTAACACAGTGGGGAGAGGGTCAAGTTGACAGGTGGATGGCTTAGATTTTTTAATGAGATTAGATACATCAGTTATGGAGGGAAGAGTAAAGCTTGAAAATAGCTGACAGGAAGACAGTGGGGGAACCAGGAAGTCTACTTCAGAGCCAGGAGCTCCTAAAGAGTTAAGTTGACGTGAATGTCTGAGATTTTACAAGTGAAAAAAGAGATAAGAGAATTGCAAAAATCAACAGAATACATCTGGGAGGGGAATGTGTCTGGAGGTTTTGTAATTTTACTGAACAATGAATAGAGGGACCTGGAGTTACCTTCATTAGATAATTAAACCAGACTATCTTGATGTTATACTTACAGGGAGCACATTTTAGGCCTAAGGTTTGTATTTTCGCCTGATAATAGAACTAGCATTTAATGCAAACATACCTTCCCTTTCCTTTTTTCATTTAAGTGATGAGGTTTTTTTCAACAGTAATCACAAATAAATAAGAGCTACAGAAAATGCAGTGACTTACTTTCTGTGCTCTAACGGTTGAGTTCCCTTGTTCAGGAGAGCAGAAAGCACGCTATACTTTGCAGTTTGATTACTAAAATGCAACATTACTATACAGTAAATGTTTTTAACCAAACAAAATCAAACTGACAATGCTCTTTGTGGAGACGTATTGATTTCTGGTCTTTTTAGTGGATACGAACATGATTTTTTTTTGTGTGTGAATTTTTTTTGGGGGGGGGGTAGGCGGTTGTGGGTGTTCTAAAATAGTACAGTACATTAAGAACAGGCTGAATAATATGTATTTGCTATGTACAGTGTACTCATTCCTCACACTTTCAGAAGCAAAACTGGCTCATACGTCTGGACAGGATCAGCCTGGGAAAAAGGCAGATGGGAAATAGGCCCACTCGTGATGCCCCTAAGTCTGCCCCAGCTGCTTACAGATATTGCACTCCATGTGTGATGATTAATAGGTCCTCAGCAACACGTCATAATTAGTTTCAGGGTGCAGGCTACTTATAGACCAAAGAAGCAACCGATGATAAATGCAGTTGCATCTGTTTCACATACAAGTCAGAGTTACGCTCTTGGGTGACAAATAGTGCTGCAACTGTGCTTCAGTTTCAAGTTGGGTCAAATGGGGAAGCCTCAGTATGACCCAAATAAGCTGCTAGGATTAAGACTCGTTAAGATGATTTATTATACTTCCCTGTTCATATTGTTTTGGCCTTTACTGTAGTGCTGCCTTACTGTACTGCTCCCACTCTGCCAGATTTGCTAGGAAACTTGCACTGTGAAATGACCTAGTTAGTTGGTGCTGACCGTTTGAATGCCACAGCAGGTGAACATTTTCATCGCCTGTGCTGTAATAAAGTGTTTTCACAGATTTTTAGCAAAATGATCCTGCTCTTGTAATGTTTCTTTTTGCTCTACGTTTTTGCTCAAAAGCAGAAGTCATCTGACTTAAAGAATATTTTGTCTGTTTTGCTGTGCATTATCTCTGTGCACTGTTTGCTAACTCTGTCAATGAATAGCTGCTTCGTTTGATCGCTCCACAGTATTGTTACTAATTTGTCTGCACTGTTTTTTGTCTTATAGGTGAACCTCGCAAGTTTGACCCAAACTTCAGAGGGCCTGTTCAGAACAGGTACTCAGCATCCTCAGACTACTGTGTAAAATACATTTACAGACACACTTTGAGACATTGTAACATCACCCTCATTCGATAGTTTATAACAAGAAGCTAATTTTTATTCACCTGGATTGTGTAAGACTGGAAACAGAAGACACCGATACAACTTTTTAGTGTAATATGCATTTTTTTATTTTGATGAACTGACCTTCCAAACATCTGACTTCTTACATGTGTATTGAGTTTGCTCACTGTATCATTTTTTTGGCGCACACTGCTGTTTGAGGCTGACAGATTGATTATTTGTCATGCTACATTAATAAAGACTGAGGCCTGAGTGCTGGCAGATCTCTACACTCCACCACACAGATCAATGGCCATAAGTCAAGCTGGTGGCTGGAGTTAACCCAATGACACACATTAGCAGCCAGCCAGACACACACGAAACAGATGTACACACAAGAGATTTCATGATAACGAGTACTCTGTCTCCAGGCTCGTGTAACAAAATGTCCACATTACTAAGTGTTAGCATTATACAAAAATGCACCGAGGCTCTTATTTACTTTTTTCAGCTAGCAAAGTGATAGCAAATACTGAGCTTGACACTGCTTATATCTGTAGTAGCCACTGTCTGACAAATTACATGTGTGCGGAAAAAATAAGTGTGCCCTATGATTCAGTAGCTTGCACAACCACCTTTAGCAGCAGTAAGTTGGAGTATTTGTTTTGTCAGACTTTATCGGTTTCTCACATCATTGTGGATCATTTAGACCTGCTCTTCTTTACAGTTTGAAGGCATTTGTTTATGCACAACTTTCTTAAGCTCCTGCCAGAACATTTCAGTTAGGTTGAGGTCTGGACTTTGACCGGGTCAGTGTGACACCTTGATTCTTTGCTCTTCAGTCATTCTGTTGCAGATTTTCTGTTGTGCTTGGGATGATTGTACGGTGGCCCTGAGAGGCCAAACGGACTGCAACTTAAGAAAACACCAGCAATAAGAAAAACGCTGCAAAAGCACACAAAACACAAAGGAAATAGTAAAAAACAAAACAGAAAAAGGAAAAACAGATTTCCAAAAGCACAAGGGAAATGTTTCTGGGGAGACAATAACCTGACGGACCAGTTGCAGGAACCAAAACATGCTAGGTAAGTGTGTTTTAATCTCATAGGCTAACACACTTATCTCTCATCTTTTCTTTCCTCACAAAACCAATACATCCTCCACTTCTTTTAAGTGTTTCCCAGCGCATTTCTTAGCATATTTTGGTTCCTGCAACTGGTCCGTCAGGTTATTGTCTCCCCAGAAACACTTCCCTTGTGCTTTTGGAAATCTGTTTCTCCTATTTCCGTTGTGTTTTGTGTGCTTTTACAGCATTTTTCTTATTGCTGGTGTTTTCTTAAGTTGCGGTGGGTTTGGCCTCTCAGGGCCACCGTATGATTGTCTTGCTACGTGACCCAGTTTCAGCCAAGTGTTAGTCACTGGACAGATGGACAGCTTCACTTTTGTCTCTAGAATACTCTGATATACAGTGGAAGTTGACTCAATCAAAGCAAGCCTAAACCGCCATGCTGATAGTTGGTTTTAGTGCTGAGATGTTATGTTTGGGTTTTGCCAAATGTCCAAAAGACGTTGTTCCAGAAATCTAATAGGTAATTTAGATGCAACTTAGCAAACCTAAGCTATACTGCCATGGATTTTGTAGAGAGAATAGGTTTTCTCCTGGCAGCTCTTCCAAACAAGCCATACTTATCCAGTCTTTTTTCTAATTGTACTGTCAAGAGCTGCTAATAAGCTTCTGCTAATGCTTGTAGAGTCTGAGATGTAGCTCTTGAGGTTTTTGGGGGGGTGGGTTGCAATTTCTCTGAGCACAGTCTGATGTTGAGGTGAAATTACTGGCAACTGTCTTGAATGTGTTCCATTCTACAGGAAGAATCATAGACTTGAAATTGTTTGGACATGTCCTTCCAAAATAATGGGCAGCAGCAGTAGCCACTTTAAGGTCATTGCTGACACTTTCCTTCTTGACATTGTGTTAATATTAACTTCAAAATCCAGACCTGAAAAATTCTAATACGTCTGTTTTTATAGAGGCGGTCACGCTTGCTGGTGAACTGACATTTGATATTTAATATACTATTAAAATTTTCACATAGGGCTTCTGCGTTTTTGTTAACTATTCATCAGAATCTCAGCTAAAAGCTCACAAAAACATTTCAACAACATCAAACAGCTAAAACAGCTAACAATTAAAGAGCAGGTAAACATCCTCCGTTCACCCGACAGCACGGACGAAAGCCGACATCTGACAGATTCAGAAACTGCAAGTTTCGTCACTTTCATTCCAGAGTTCACTGAACCAGCAGCAAAAGAAGACGAAAACTATGCTTCATGTTTGAAAGACATTGTCATGAATTCCCTCTTACTTTTGCTGTCTTATTTCCTGCATAGCTCTATCACTCAGTGTTCTTTCAGACCAGATTTCCATCAAAAATCTCTATTTTCTGCATTATTCGCTAGCTTATTACGCACCAGTCTACCATTTTTACCACCTGTTTTTCCCCCAAAAGTGACTCTGACAAGAAAGCCTAATTTCTGCTATTCAATACCAAAGAAATGTTGACTTTCACAAATTATGCCAAATTTTGCAAAGCTGTGTTTCTAATAAAGCCTGAGCAACTTTCTCTGCTTCGTTTCAGCAGCATCAAGCTTTGTCCATATGTTGATTCATATTGTTATAAGACAATTACTTTTTGATCTGCCGCAGCACATTTTCAAGGGTGTCACGTGCTATAAAAGACCAGACCAGGAAAAACTCCTTTATATTTTTCTGTTTTATCCTCAGTTCGTTTGACACAGTGGCATCCGCTGTGATGCTTACACCTGTGATGAAGTGCTAGCTTTATTTTGACACCAAGATATTTTACATAGAGTTTGTAATTGCAGAGAAAAAGTCAGGTCACGTTGGGCATGTCATTTTAAAGCAAGACGCTTTAAAGTGTGGGGGTGGGAGGGGGGGGGGGCTTTACGGGTTAAGTAAATAAAGATGTAATTTGTTGTTATTCATCAGAGGTTGTACTTACTTGATTATATAACCTGCAAGAACAAGATTCTTTTTATTACGTCCTGATACATAAACATGTAAAACGGCCATACTTTCTTCTTCGCGTGGCTGTAAATCTGATGAAAAAGATTTGATATTAGTAGTATCTTTATCCTTCCTCAACCTGATAAATTAGATTTATACTGTAAAAAAACGTTTTTTATTGCAATGACAGGTGGGATTTTGCAATGAAGCAAAACTCCTTGAGGGTGTCGCTCTAGGCTTTTCTTGAATTAGTCATTTTCAGAGATAATGTAGGTTTTTACCTCTTTTATGTCCAACGTCAGACTGGCACGCTGCTGTGGAGGCATGTTCCAGTTCTCCTGTGCCTCTTTATCCCACCCTCTCCAGCCCATTTCTCCGCTACTGGTGGGTGAAGGCACCAAGGATACTTTGATGTTTCTGTGGCCCAAAAGCTTTTCTTAATGAGAACTGGAAGAGAACCAACTCTGTGGTCGCCTTGTTTTCATGTAAGCTCAAAGCCTAAATGAAGTAACCATATCTGTTGATTGAGCAGTCCTCTGCAAGCTACACAGGAGTGGGCTTGCTGTAGTGCTAATTTTATTTGCCTATAAGAGTCAAAGATCCAGTCATTGTCACATCTCCACCACTCTAATGTAGTCCTTTCTATAATTACCCCTTCAATAAGTGTGCCGTTAAACTTTGCTTCCGATTCTTTCTCTTCGCCCGAACTGGGCCTAATGTTTGTCAGGAATACTGTTCACTTGGAAATTTGTCCCTAATGGCCCTCATGACCATGTGAAATATCCCTTTTGTGTGAAGATCTGCCCTCCTTCCTGTAAATGTCTGTTACAAAGGAGGGACAGTCTGGCAGATTCACACCACAATGGCACCCACGCTATTCTGTGGCACTTCTGCCATCTGTGTCACCTTGACTCCTGCAGAGTATCAGCCTTGCAAATATAATACTGACACAAAAGTTTCCCGTAGCACTGACAAAGGTTCCAGTACTGACTGTTTTTCTTGCTAAGCAGTACTGCGTGCAAACAGAGTCCACAAGCAGAGAAAAGTGTTGGTTCGTGTGAACGTATGTGTAAGAGGCATCTGAAGAGAGCTAAAGCTTGGGATTGAGCCCAGTTTGGAAGCCAAATAGATTTTGTTTAATTATGTTTTCCTGAGATAAGAGAACCAAGCAGAATTGTTTTCACTCTGCTCACTTTGTCAGCTTCCCTTAAACACTGACCGTAGCACGTTTCAAGGGTCGCTTTCTTTTAGCGCCGAGTCGCTGTGTTTGCACTGTGTCCTTCTTTTTTTTTTAATTGCAGTTGTTTCCATATGAGGGGAATGAAAATCACAACAGACCTACAGTAACAGTCAGTGTGACGATGAAGCGATTTCAGCTTAAGACTCCCAGCCCTCATATCTTCCCAGTTCATCAAACAGGATGTGTGACTGAGTGATAGCTAACTTATTTACCAGCTGGAGGATAGAGAGGGATTCAGTAATTGCCATAGCAACACTGACAGCTCTTTTTTGAATTAAATGAAACGATACTCTCTTGCCTCCCTTTGCTAATAACATGCACAATCTCAGCAACTGTTTTGCTGGTAGTGTAGCAGGTTGTCTGTGTACACCGCATACCCACTGTCAGTGTAAAACTGCCGCTGTGTTCACTTGGGAGAACTGTGCCCACTTCAGTTGCCTTTGTTCCTCTCTTATCTCCAAAAAATAATTGCAGTGCTTCCAGAAAATGGTTTACACCTCAAAATATTTCACAAGTGCCAAATGTCTATTTAAATGATCAGATAAATCTCTCAGTCAAGTCACTCTCTGAATTCATTGTCTCATCTATAAAATGCCAGAAAATTGTTACAAATTGTAACAGTTTCTATCACTCCATAATCAAAGTATTGATCTTGGATGTGAAACCAGATACGGTAAAGCCATCTTTAAAAGCACGTCCAGGTTTTGAGTGGCTAAATCACGTTTTGTGTTCGCAATTATCTGCAGTCTTAGTGCAGGTCAGATCAAAGAGATGATAATAAAGTCGTTTTAAAACCGCAAACAATGAGTATAGGCTGCCTTGCTGGGACAGAAGAGATTTCCTACCCTCTGTTTTCAGCAAGCTACCACCGCTGCTAAGACAGATTGCGAGCTTTACCGCAGTTATTGATGCAGGGCTATAAAAATGATCTACTTACTGTACTTGAAAACAGTCCTAAATCCTTTGCAATCCAAGCTTAAATTAAACAGCAGAGTCTAAATCTCAGAGTCTGAGCTAAGCATACAGTCTAAATAGTTTTGCTTGTTTCCTTAAAAATGCATTCAGTTTACTTCACTCACTGTAAACACATTACTGTCTATTTAAGCTACTCTCCCTGTCTCCATGGATTCCTCCACATTGTGTATTATGTCTGTACATCAGTGCTTCAGTCCTTACTGCCTGCTTGGTAATTGTGAAGTAGTGTTTGGAGGCTGAAGAGCAGTAGTGCCTGTAAACAACCGTGTAACCATGCTGCATACAAAACAAGGACAGTTCACTTGTTCAAAGAAGCACACAGAGGAAACACTGCACTTCTCTGAGTTTAGGCCTCCTTTGACCTTGGCTTTGAAATCCAGAGGAGATGAGGGTCTCAAGTCAATTTCATTACCATATGGTGTAAAGGGGAGGTTATGCATGTATGGTACTGCTGGGCACGGTAGATTAAACTTGGCTTCATTCATGGCTGAGGCTGGCACTAAGAGGTTCTGAAAACAGGCTGGATGGACAGCATTTTTTAAAAGGAAGTCGGGGGCGGGGGGGAGGAAGCTTGTTATTTGGGAAACACTGAGACGGTGAATAAAGACTCAGAGGGAGAAAGACTCTGAGATGCAGTTTTAAACTAGCAGACTAAGGCTGCTGAAGTGAGAGTGGAAACTTCAAATAACGGTCTCTGTGGCTGCGGGTCAGTTAACCCTGAGAGGCATTCAGAGTCTCAACAGGAAGTCAGTAGAGCTCTAAATTCAAATTCAAATTTTATTTGTCACACACACACAACCATACACAGTATGACATGGGGGTGAAATGCTCTACTGCAGGTTCTCTGAAAACACAGATGACACTTACTCGTCTCTGGAAGTAAAGTACTGAGCTAAAACTCCGTTACCATACAATAGCAATTACATTGTCAACACACACTATGCATTCTTTCTCTCTGTGAGGTGAAGCTAATTTCATATTCCCCCTGGGGACACTTTACTAAATATATTTGCATATATTACTGATTTCCACTGTTTTCCACTCGTAATCTTGGATTCCTGCGTCACACACTGTTCCCACATCCCTCTTCTGTTTCCAGGAGCTGCACTGATGTGGTTTGCTGTGTTATCTTTGTCATTGTCATCCTTGGATACATCGCTCTGGGTACTGTGGGTGAGTTTGACAGGTTGCCAGTGATTACATCACACAAACTTTCTTAATGACACACAAACATGTACACACGATGATGAGGTATGTGTGGCTGTGGTGCAGAAAAATGAATTTCTTTGATACCCTGTCCTTGCAGGTAGTTTAAAGCGCACCATATGGCTGATGGTATAAAAAGGAAAGATGAATGCAAATCGTGTGCTCTGCCTGTGAGGTTTTGTCTGAAGAGGTCAAAACTCCAGCTACACTTGTAGTATATCAAACAACTTTACTGCTTGACCAAAGCTGTTCAATATACACTCACCGGATGCTTCATTAGTTGCTCCTTAATGCAAATATCTAGTCAGCCAATCATACGGCAGCAACTGAATGCATTTAGGGATGCAGACAAAGACGACTTGCTAAAGTTTAAACTGAGCATCAGAAGGGAGAATAAAGGTGATTTAAGTCACTTTGTGTTTGACATGCTGGTCTGAGTATTTCAGGAACTGCTGAATTGCTGGGATTTCGCAACCCAACCATCTCTAACGTTTAGAGAAAAAGAGAAAATATCCAGAGAGCAGCAGTTCTTTGGCTGAAAGTCCCTTGTTGATATCAGAGGTCAGAGAAAAATGGCCAGACTGCTTCAACCAGGATCTTTTTTTGGCACCCATAGTACCAGCGGAGCATTATTTCAAATGCCACAACCAACCTGAGTGCTGCTGCTAACAATGAAACTACATTGTTATGTGTCATGCCACAAGGCTCAAATCATCTGAAACTGGTTTCTTGAAAATGAAAATTAGTCCACTGTGTTCAATCCAGTAGAGCACCTTTAGGACCAAAATATCCCAGGAATGACTTCAGCACTTTAGCATAGTTCTGAAGGTGAACTTGTTACTAACAAGATGTATCTAATGATGTGTTGCTGAAGTGTTGACTTCCTAAAATTTGACCGTCTTCCACCTTGGAAGTGTTTTACCTTGTGGTAGCAGCGTCTACGCTCTGAGGTTTTGTTTGACAGTAATATACCACAAAAAAAACTTCAATTGTCAGCACTTTTGTTTTTGTTTTTTTTAGTTGACCTGATCAGAATTTCTAGAATCCCATTTCAAAGAATAGGAGTTTCTCATGATAAGTAGAAGAAGTTGGATATATTTGACCTTTCTTCCTTTACTCACTGACCAGCACGTTAATGCATCTCTTCTCTCTTGTTACAAAGTTGGGGAAAGTCCCAGTGCTGTCACTAAACTGGGCTTTATCTTGCCAGCTTACTGCCAGTTGATTCATGTTTCAGTAATTGGAAAGGACTTCCTGTTTCCAAATAATTTTAAAAAGAGCGACGTGTATGACGCCGCATGCAACATGTCTGCAGTCACCTAAAGAAAGTGGCCTTCTGCCTTCATCCTTTGCAGTTTCATCCTCCTTGTTGTGACTTGTAGAGCATCTTAATTGTGTTGCCTCACATTCAGCACAGTCCCTCATTGACTGGCAAGGTGAAAGGCTTTATTAACACTGTGTTGTTTAGCTTGGCTAAATTAATGAAACACAAGCATTGCTCAGAAAATTGATTTTTAGGGCTGCCACCGTCCTATCTAGAGAAAAAGAACAGAACAAATTAAAGGATTGATTTCTTTGTCTTTTGTTGTGTTTCTTCTTAATTACTATTCATACCCTTGCTTAAATAAATTTGCATTTTTGTATTCTTAATTGTTTTGGTTCCTTTTTAACATGCATGTCCTTGGCATTAGGCACAAATGTTATTGATATAGTGCAGAGGTTTCGTTTTGTTACAGCTGTATCTGAATGCTAATGTGTGTCTTTTGGTTTTTATCAGCAGATCATTTTCTTAGTTATATTCAAAGTAAAGTAGATGTCTGAAAATGTTAGCATTGGTCATTTAGGAATGCAGACAGTCTGAACTGGGGTGATGGGCTGGCCAGTGGCCTCATGTTCAGCAGGTAGACCAGTTTGAGTATGATTTGGGGGATGATTGTGCAGATTTTAAAATCCAAGCACCTGAAATGAAAAGCTCTGTTGGTGTCGTTTCAGCCTGGATTCACGGTGACCCCAGGAAGGTCGTCTATCCAACAGACAGCCGCGGTCAGTTCTGTGGCCAGCAGAACACCCCCAATGCGTGAGTGGAAAACTGTCTTCTTCTTAAATTGTTTACAGTGGAATAATTATGTTGTCCAATTTGTCTGTCAGCATTATGTTGTTATCTTTACATGAACAATAGCCATTGTCTACCATTCAGTACACTGAGATGATTCTTGATTAATCCTGGCAAGTTTTATTGCACAGCACACTGAGTGTGAGCACCTCCATGCTGGCTGATAAAACATTGCACAGTAATGGACTTTTGGATCTGTCTAATCTGACTCCCCTTTTTTGTCTTCATCTTTTGTCTTCACAGAAACAAAGCCATATTATTCTACTTCAACATGCTGAAATGTGCCAATCCTGCAGTTTTAATTAACCTCCAGTGCCCTACAACCCAGGTAGGAGATTGAACGAAGCCCCGTTTTGTAGCTCTGTGTACAGTGCTTGATGTCTCTCTCCAACTTTTTCGCCACGCACGATTATGCAAGATTGATGGGCGCTCTCATTAAGACGATGTGTTGCCTTCCTCAGCTCTGCGTCTCGAAGTGCCCTGACAGATTTGCCACTCTCCTGGATGCAATGAATACCAAAAACTGGGAATATTACAAGCAATTCTGCAAGCCAGGCTTCGAGATTGGCAGTAAGGTGAGAGATGGAGGGTAACAGGGCATTTTGTTTTTTTGCAAACTCGATGGAAGTGTGAGATTGTGTTAAATCATCGCTGCTTTGAGACCAGCTCATGTACAATACATTGGACACTTAGCTGGGAAATATGTGCAGTTACTTAATGACACGTGCAAAAATAAATATAAAAAGAGTGTATACGAGTATCTTAGGCTACGTTCACACCGCAGGTCTTAATGCTCAATTCCGATTTTTTGATCTAATCCGATTTTTTTTGTCTGCGTGTTCACACGACAAATAAAATGCGACAGCAAACGCGCTCTAGTGTGAACGCGCTCTGTTTAGACCCAGACCAAACAGTGTTGTTTGACTGATGGCCTTAATATAAAGACTTCAGACTTTACGTTTCCCAATTTTTGCTTTAAGTTATTTTGTTATTTACATAATAATGTAAATAACCTAATAATGATCCTTATTGCTGCTTTAGAGGAGCGGTGCTGCAAAGGATAGCTGCAAATTTCTGTCAGAATCTGCAGATTATACAGAACAAATAAAATGTTCACGTTTCTCCAGCGTTCCCAACAGTTTCACTGACATCTACGCTGGATGGTCAGGAAGCGTTCGCAATGTCTTCTCAGGCGCTTCTCTGGCGCTGATAATTAGCGTCTGTCTTGTGTCAGTGACGTAATTTAATGCGACATGACCATCAAACAGCAGTCGCTTTCTAAAACATTGGATATGTATCGGATTCAGTACCACATACGAAAGTGACCCAGATCGGATTTGTGCCGTTCACACTGTCAGACCATGATCGGATATGGGTCGCATAGGGTCAAAAAAATCGGATTTGATGCGCTTTCGCCTGCAGTGTGAACGTAGCCTAACAGGCTTGAAAGTCAGTATTTGGTATCTGCACCTTTATTCTTAAATGCCCATGATCCCAAGCTTTCTTCGAGTAGTCTTCAGGAACAGTTCTCCAGGATTCTTGAAGGACATTCAAAGCTCTTCTTTGGATGTTGCTGCCTTTTGTTCTGTTCTCTGTCGAGATGATTCCACACGGCTTCAATACTGTTGAGGTCCGAGCTCTGAGGAGGCCAATCCATGGCTGACAGTGGTCCGTTGTGTTTTTATATCCAGGAATGCTTGTACTGCACTACTGTTTGGGAATATTGTCATGAAAATGAAGTCGCCGTCAATCTGACACTTTTCAGATGAAGGATCACCATCTGATGGTACTTCTCTATGTTCAGAATTTGAACAAGACCCTCAACACCACAGCATGACTGAGCCTCCACTATGTTTCACAGACACACTGTGGAATGGTCAGGTGCATCTCTCAGTTCCTTTCAGGACTTTGTTGGATATTTGTTCCTATTTCTTAGATATTTTTTTTAGGCGAGACACTTGACTCGTGACTTTAACACAGAACTACTCCAAAATTTTCAGAGCTCTTTGGACCTTTTCTTTTTTATCTAGAACATTTTTGAAATGATTTCATCAGTTTTAGTCTTTCTAATAACGAAGAGCACATTTGGAGTGAGCTTCGCGAGATGGGCGGAGGTGAGCGAGCAGCCACTCATGCTTATCACAGCCCTGTTCCGTCAGCTGGCAGCAGTTCGGTGGCAGTGACGCTGCCGTTATGGTGCATGAAAGTGAGGTGTTGTGTGGGAGCACTTTACAGCTCAGACTGTCTGAATTGAATCATAGTTTCCGCTTTCCACGTCATCACTAAGTATGACAAACTCTGTTACATCTGTCTGTAAAATCTGTCAGTTGTGTGTTTAGTTTACTTTAGATACGTTTTTATTTTTTAGATTAATGATAATTATTGTAACTTGCATAAGTATTTTTAAATTGAATTTATTTATGGTGCATTTTCAGTTGGACATTTCATTGCAGGACTTGTGAATGATGGAGAAACATACAAGATTTTTTTTGAATACTCAAGCAGGCACGACAGATTCAAACAAAACAAGATCACAAAGTTTAATAGAGAAGAAGTTCTTTTCTGTCTTTGTAATAAAGGCTGCGAGGAGTGAACGCTCAGGGAAAATCACTTGTTTTCAGCTTTTTGAATCATTATCTCTTCTGTTCCCTTTCAGTCAGTCAGAGAAGTCATACGAGATGAAGACTGCCCGTCTATGATTGTGCCAAGCAGACCTTGTAAGTGAATCCGAGCAACTCTAAATACATTGCCCCAATAACTTAATGTTTGTTCTGCCAAGAGGGTAAATACAACAAAAATATCTACAAATGTGTTTCAGTCCTTCAGCGGTGCTTCCCTGATTTCATTAGAAGAAATGGGATTTTAACTGTAGCCAATCAGACCATCTTCAAAGACGGTGAAAATAACAAGAGAAGTGTCGACGATCTCAAAGATGCTGCCAAGTAAGATCTGCTCCCCTGCAACACCAGTCTTTGCCCTACTTGTTTAACGGGTTCATTTTTAGCAGTAGGAGAATCACAGATTAAGATTTGGCAAACAAAACAAACAATGAAACGACTTTTTAAAAATCCCCTCTAGAACAAAGTGTTTTTAAACTGTTATACTGTCTGTAGGGATGCCGACTCTGCACCCAGAGAGATCTGGACAGAAATAACAGGGTAGGACCAGTGGGCATTTTACTGATGCCCATGAATGTGCTCAGTCACATTCAAAGTCATCTGCATGCGTATTGCATGAAAATAAACTTACCTACAAACTCAAGAGCCTGAGCCAATGTTATGGGTCTCTACAAGCTTAGCTGCATTGTATGTATGTATATATCTATATGTTATCAGCATGTAAAAGGGCCGAGGCAGCAAACTTCAGAAATCATGTATTTAAACCAGTGAGCTGATATCATGATCATACATGATTTGTATGGCTGCAGTAATCTACCTTGAATAATATAACTTGATGCTTTTTCTTTAGCCAAGTAACCGCCAACATAAAGTAGAAAGGGTTAAAAATGATTTATTTCAGCTTTTTAACTTTGCTTCTGCTTTAGCCAGTTGCTTTATATAGACTAACCTGCTCACCTGTGCTGTTTATCCATAAGAATACATAACTATATTTTTGTTTGCGGCATTAGATGCAAAATAGGGCAAGTTAATACCTCAAAACATCAAGTCACCGCCTCTACCTTCTGTGTGAAGTAAATTAGAGAGTGCTGTGCTGCCCCCTGGTGGTCATTAGTTTTGCTTTCCTGGCACAGATTTTGGGAGCGATCCAAACTCTTGTATGTGTGGACACTGAACAGTGACCTTAATTAGACAGTAAGATTTAGAATTGATGCTGGCGTCCTGTTTGTCCCACAGCAATGTTATCTTGCCCTCTATGTCTCGCCAATTTCAAGATATACCTGAGTCACTTTTCAGTAATCATATTCTGACTTTGCTGCCAGTTTTGTAGTTTAAATACTCTCCAAGTGTTTAATGACAAGTGGAGCTATTTAATGAACCCAGAAGGCGAGCTTTCCTGTGAAATAAACAGGCATCTTCTTTTGTGCTTATCTGAGTTAGAGTGACGGGGACCTGAGGTCTATCCCAGCTTACACTGGTGTGGTATGCCCTGGACACGCTAACACCGAGAAACAAACTCACATCCACACCTACCAGTGCAAAATTTCTGATTCCTGTTCTGTTTGCATTCTGATATTCAACAAAAACTCTGTGGGTTTTAAACCAGAACATCTTCAGTGGAGATTACTTAAAAAAAAAAGATAATACTGAGTCTGTGACGTTTACTATCTGAAGCATTTATGTTATTACTGTGGAGATGAAAATGTGGCTCCTGATCTAACACATCCATTACTATTTGCTTTACCACAAAGTGCTCCTCTGAATGATATTCACTTCTATACTATTTCCCACCCTGCTGTAATAGCTGCCAGTACTGCTTCTGTAACTCTACTTGTTTTGTGGCTCTTTGATATGGAACTTGAGCAGCTCTTACAACTGACATTATCGAAAGCATTTTAGAGCTATAGCTGTCTCTGTTCCATGATGAAAGCAGTAGAGATCAATCGGCTGTCAAAACGTTTTTGAGAAATCCTTGTGAACTAAGCGGCATTAGCCTAAATCCACCAAAGTGCATCCCTGTGCTGTTTAATCACTTTCTGTCTACTCCTCTTCCTCCTATTTTTTCCATTTCACCTTTTTACTGAACCACAGAGGTATCGCCAGTCTGCTGAATGCCAAAGAAGTCGGCATGAAGATCTTCGAAGATTATGCAAACTCCTGGATCTGGATCCTCGTGTAAGAATGGCCTTTCCTCATTTTAGTGATTAAATTCATATGAAGAGAAAAATCTCTGATTCATTGATGAGATTATGAAAGTGTTCACATTATTACTTTGATGAAGATGCTCCTGCTCTTTGTGATCTTTTAACCCATCAATCCAGTGTCAACTATTATTTGCAGTCATGTTTAAAGAGGAAGTTGTTTGGTTTGTTATTAGAACAACCAAACTTGTGATCCACTAAAAACAGTGGATATACTTTAATAATATAAATCCTTTAACAAATAGAAACTGATAGATCTTATATTCTTTTGCATGACGTACATCCAGGCCTCAGACATTTATTGTGTCACCTGTAGCAGAGATTATTTCTCATACATGTTTTGCACATTTGTTCACCAGTCTCACATCAGCTTCCTGACATTTTTGACCGGATCGGTGGATTTGCTGTGATATGACAGAGAATTCTTGAAACTGCCCAGAGCCAGAGGCAGCAAAGCTAAATCATAATGCACCAACATGCTTCATGCTGGTCAGAACACCCAAATGACTCAGGGATGTTTTATTCCTGTCTTCAGAGCTTGTTGGTCCTGGAGACACTGATTGTAACAGCAGTTTGACTGTTTTCAGGACTACTGAGATTAGTTTCTAAACAGCAGCGTCACAAACACATTGCAGTCACAACACTTGACATCAAAGATGAAATCGAGGCTCTGAGATGCTTTTAACTCAGGCTTCGTCCACACTAATACGTTTTCGTTTGAAAGCGCATCTTTTTCT